AAATCTGTTAGACGTCTTTCCATAGCAATTACACTCCGTACTTCCCACCATCAACCATCACTCTTCTGTCATCATCAGTCAGCAACAGATTTAACTGCACGCTGTGTAACAACAATCATCTCATCAGAGTTACAGTCATTAACTCCTGCTATCACTGCTGATTAAACGTTATCACACTATTACTGATTTGCCATAGCAATCAAGTGTTAATGAACATCTGGAGTAAAAAATAAATAAAAGCTGAACCATTGTTGCTTACACTCCGTTCGACATTTGCCTCCCAGGAAGCCTGGTATTTGATTAAGGGTAAAACATTAACAAGTAGTGTTTAAAGTCTACAGGAAGTTCCTGCATACAGGGGGAGAGACTGTCCTCATGCTAAGATTTGCCAGTCAGAGGGTCACATATGAATGAATCAGCTTATTAGGACAAAAGAGAGAACTACAGGATTCCCGCAACATGGTAGGCTTGAATCCATTGACTTTTACGCCTGGAGAGCCAGGATTTCAGCCAGTGCACATTCAACACGGCTTCAGACCAAAATACACCATTGCAGATAAGATGCCAAAACCACTTATCAATTGGAGTCAATGGAGTGCAGGTTTATTCTCCCTAGCTAAACTGAGTAAACTAATTACGATACTAGTTACGACAAGCCTCTATCTAGACTGTTACAGACACAGTTTTAGCCTGACACATCTGACACAGACGCAAACTAACAATTCCAATTAAGATTTGTTTCACCAATTCATTATTAAGACAGGAATACATCAAACTGGGCACAACAGTCTTGCATCAAATTCCAATGTCTGCCCTTCAAGATTCACAGACTTCACAGACAGGCTCGCCCACTGTGAAATCGGTAAGTGCTTGAAGGCTTTGCTTCTGCGGGAACCCACAGTGCCTAAATAAAATGTTGTGTTAAAATGGTGATAATAAAAAAGTATAAACATGTCACTTATCACAACTTGTTTGTCTTAAGACATTATGGTGACTTAGAAATACATTCATTTGGTCCAACAGCACCATTTTGCTTAGAAACAGGGAGAAAACAACAAACACTATAATTCTCTAAACTTCTTATGAAGTATGAGCCTCACACTGTACTTGCCATGGAGATGCCAGCGATTGGAGACCTTACACTCTCCTGTATTCAGTCAATGTACTGTACGTTTGTGAGGGGCCAGAGCTTAAGAGTGGACATTTTAAGTCTTCCCCACATAAGGTTGGTGTTCAATAATCGGAGCCCAAATCAGAATCTGTATACAGGAGCTACAATACACAAACTGTAATTCTGTATTTGATCTGCTCATCACATTTTTGCAAGTAGTTTGTTTGTGTGTGTTCGCTGTGAAAGAAAACTGCCTTCTTGAAGCTGCTAGAGATGTCTCACCTGTCAAAGCTAAAATAACCTTGATGCAGTGGAAAGACGAGTAAGTCTGCTTTATCATTTTGCCAATTTCAACAACATTAATCACAAAATTAATTCTTTGCAAGCATCTTGCCACAAAAACTGCATTTGGGGCATCTCAACATCCCCTCTCTCTCTGTGTCTCTGTCTGTGTCTCTCTCTGTCTCTCTCTCTGTGTCTCTGTCTCTCTGTCTCTCTCTCTGTGTATTTCTCTGTCTCTCTCTCTCTGTCTCTCTCTCTGTGTCTCTCTCTCTGTCTCTCTCTGTGTCTGTCTGTGTCTCTCTCTCTGTGTCTCTGTGTCTCTCTCTCTGTGTCTCTGTCTCTCTGTGTATTTCTCTGTCTCTCTGTCTCTCTCTCTCTGTCTCTCTGTGTCTCTCTCTCTCTGTGTCTCTCTCTGTGTCTCTCTCTGTGTCTCTCTCTCTGTCTCTCTCTCTGTGTCTCTCTCTCTGTGTCTCTCTCTGTCTGTGGGGCTTTCAAAAAGACTTGACAAAAATGTAAATCAGTAACAGCTGTTACTAAGAAGCTCCAAACACACACATGGTTTGGATACAAGCAAGCAAGCAAGCATGAGTGCACATGTGCACGTGCACAGGCACTGAACACACACACACACACACACACACACACACACACACACACACACACACACACACACAAAATTGCTCAGCTGGACTTTCAACGGTCCAGAAAATACTGAAGTTTTGTCCTGATATATTATTGATATGTAATTCAGCAGGAGGCCTCATACTAGGACACTAGCCAACACAGTCACTGAAATACAAATGTAATGCTATATGCATGGCTGTCATTGATGACCTGAGGGTAAATGGGGCAATTAAATGGTAATGGAAAACATTTTGATACAGAAATTGTCACGAGCCTTTAAGAAACTTGATCTAATTAAATCAAACAAAACCACTTTGCCAGTAGCCATCCCAACGCTGAGAATGAAACATGATTCCTTTGCCTGATGGTAAATATCCAGACATTCAACGTAGGGGTTTGTAAAGATTTCCATGACGTGTAAGGTTATCACTTAAACTACCTCACTGCAGGATATTGTCGGGGTGCATAACAACCTCTGCTTTGTTCAAGCCGCAGGAGCTCACGGGGTAACTGCTACTGCTATTACACCGATATTTCACAACATGCCCTGAAACCACCTCAATGAGTTTGACCATGATCCCACTTCATAATACATGTTATAAAGATCGCTTACAGATAGCACCAGAGATTGCTTCCTTGAGAGTTCCCATGATAACCAGAAGGATGATAGTAATTTAGCTTTCTAATATTTGTCTAAAAATCCCATATCCACTGCCACAAAGCCCAAGACCTACCAGAGATCTGAATGACAGCTTTCACAGCAGCCCAACCAACCAAAGAAAAAAAAACACACTGGAGTTCATTTGAAACTTAACATATAGGTCAGGTGTGAGAGCACGCTTAAGAGTGTTATAGGACATTATATTAGGGCTTAAACGTGTGGTCAGGTTCGTGGTATCCAGTGTCCTGGAATCCCAAATCCACAGAATCCCACACCACATTATTCAGGATTCATTCAATAACAGACGTGGTTAAACAGTATGCTGACAGTAGGGGTCCTGAACCCAACTAATCATGAAAAATCTGGCTTTCCTATTGGAACCATGTGCGTCTGCAATGAGTAGCCCCTTTCAAAAGTATCATCATCATCAACAACAACCAGCACGATTCAGTATGCTGTCTGTCAGGTCACTGGCTCCAATAACTTTCCCTCCTCAGCCATAACAATGTGACTCTGATGCCAGCATCTGTGACTGGCCAACTGGCTGGGGACCATGGGAACCAGGCTCTGTAGAGACTGGGAGGCAGACTCGTGAAGCACTTTCAATAAGACGAGTGCTCTGTAGTGCAAACATCTCATAACCCTGCAGTTGGTAGACAATTGGGGTAGCTCTAGCCTTGGCATAGAGGCATGCAAATCCACCGTAATGGTTCCATAATCAGCGTAAAATTGCCTGAAATTGTGCTGGAAAGTGAATACAGACTATCTCCCGGTTAACTGGCAGTCAGCATGATTGTCAGCAGCAAAGCCTGTTCCACCTGTTGAGTTTAAAATGGAAAATCAACACTTGCAGTGCAATTGCCCTTGAAGCTAGATGGAGACAAGTAACTCGACGCAGGAAATAGCAAATGTTGTGGCAGGTTCTGCCGAGGTACAACGCCAAGAGGTTATGAGGTTATGAAGTCTTCCTAACACTTGTTCAGAGCGCACCTTGAATCGATGACTTCATGTGCTCGCAGTGATCAAAGCTGCATCCTGACATTTACAAGCAATTTCTCAGAAGGGGAAAAACAGAGCTTTGATTTTCAAAGCACCTGGCTGAGTTAGGAGGGGATTCCTCCAAAGAAAACATGCTGAAAACAGCAAAAAGTCGTATACAACCACTGGTCAAACTTCAATGACTCAATCTGTGTGGGCGGACAAGATTACAGTCCTTTAGCCTTAAGCCTACTACTATATCTGGGCTGGGTTTCTGGTTTGGAAAACCACTGAATCCAATCACAAAATACAGACTAACATTAGCATCAAACAAGACCGCACAGTTATAAGAAAAGTAATGAACATTTTTTTAAAACATCTGCACCCTGGTGAGCGGGATGTTGCTCTACAAATATTACCTCTCTTCTTGCCTGGATGTCTATTAATCTTTAGAAAAGCAAAACCCAGCAGTGCAGTGAACTGACAACTCTTCCATGACTGCAACTAACAATTACCATTCATTGATCTAACTTATAGATTACTTTTGAATGGGTCTTTTAATAAATCAAATCAATTGTTTAGTCTGTAAAATATCATAACAAATTGCGGTCATCAATGGTGTGAAAACCAAAGATATTACAAGTAAAATAATATAAAAGTGTTTATATATAAAATCATTTTGTGACATTCAACAATGATTCAAAGCACTCTAATGTGTATCTCTTTTTCAAAATAAACAATATTGTTTATATTCTTTACTGTTACTCCTCCATATTAACTTTAATCTTCAGTCAGTAAGCTCAGTTATTTGTTGCCAGTCGTTTTAGCTCTAAACTCTCCAATGATCACAAAGCCAACACACATTTAAAGTTATTGTTACCAGGACAACATACAACCAAAAAAAGTTTAACGCCAACGGTCACACCGTTCTGATGAACCGTTTGAACGGTTTGAACGTGTGTCCGTTGGTTTCAGTTGACACCAAAAACAAACGGAAACGTTACCTGCAGGAAAAGTTTGATTCAACCTAGTTTAACCAAGCTTGAGTAACGGTAACGTTTACTGTTAAGTAAGTAACGACACAGACAATAACTCCACCACAGAGGCTAAATAACCGCGAAGACATGTTAAAAGAAACTTCAACACACTGCTGTCATTCCCGTTGGTTTTTGACGGCTGACTCAATGGGCATGTCCCGACATTCCTCCCAACAAACTGCCACTAAAAAACTCTCCCTGGGGCAACTTAGTCTCCACTTTTCTGCACCGGTGAATCGACACCTCCGGGCTCGCTGCGTCGACACTAGCAAAACTTGAGAATATTTCTTTTAAAAAAAAGTCTTACCTGATAAATGTCATGGATTATGAAAGTACCCACACACACAAAAAAGTTTTCCCCCCGGTCTTTCCCAGCGTATCTCCACACGGACTCAGTTTCCCCCCCAACACACAACTTGATCCACCAAGGTAGGCTACGGGACGCCGGGCTCCTCCTCCTGCCCCGCATGAGGTCATCGTCAACAGAGGGCAGGGAACCAAGACAAACCGCCCCCCCCCTCTCTCTCTCTCTCTCTCTCTTTCCTCCTCCTCTTTTCCTCTTCCTCCTCATGGACGTGACAGGATGCTAGGGATGCGAGATACATGGATTAGGATTTAACTGTTTAAAGGTGTGTGTGTGTGGGGGGGGGGGGGGTCTGTATCATCAATACTACACCTAATCAATTAGAATTAGAATCACTTTTATTGGTCAGATATGTGCACACATTCAAGGAACAAGACACATGTACAAACACAGACTAACAGCATGAATAAGGAGAACAAGTTCAACAAAAAACAGATACTAATATGTACAGTTATGCATGTATGTAAACAAACAACAAACAATAACATTGGTAGACAATAGTGCAATGGTGCAGAGTGCAAAGGATGCTGAAATAAATACTTCACGTGACAGTATAAACATTATGCACAGTAAACACAGTAAAGGTAGATGTTCAATTGTGATTTATGCAAGTTTTATTTAAATGTAGCACTTATTAAAGAGATTTCCTGCCAATAAAGTCAACATGACTAACAACTGCCTCTATTTAAGGTAGCATTGTTTGGGTTTTTTTCCAAGAAACTTCCAAGGGAATCGTTAGGGAATTACAGACTCACTGAATAAAAGTGTGTGATGCTGATAAAATTAGAAAAAGAAAAAAAAAGAGAGAGAGAGAGAGCTAGTAATTGGACCCTGTGCTGATTTTTTTGTCACAGGTGAAGCATTACTGTTAATTTGCGAAATTAAAAGTCTAAACATTGTTTCAAAGCCCTCTCTCCACACTGCCAGGAACATTTCTGGTTGTGAGTAGTTAATTTATGTATTTATTTAGTCCAATTGAAATATACAGAGTCTAAAAACAACAAGGTTTCCCAGCTTTTCATTAACAGGCCACCATTAAGTACACACAGGTCCAGTCCTCATTTTTCACCGGCTAAATTAACACGGATGTTGGAAAACTACCTGGATATAAAGGTACAGTAACAGGAACAATACACCTTCACAGCAGCCATTTTGACATGAAATAGTAGGGTAAACACAGGGGTCTCCAATTAAGGCTCCATTCCATTTAGTTTAGCAGAGCAAAATGGCTGCTGTGAAAAGGGTCTACTGTAATTACAACTTTAGAGTATAGAATGATTAGTTAATGAATTAATTGAGAAAATTAGTCGACAACAATTTTGAGAAATCATTTCAGACTAAACGACTAATCAAAAAAATAAAATTTAAAGATCCAGCAGATTATTAGGTTTCATTATTAATCAGTAAAGAAACATTTTTTAGCTCCACCCCTATTTCAGATCCATATGTTTTATATTAAATGGTAACTTTTACTCCCTATATTAATCTTATCTAGTCTGTGGTTATTTGCTACTCTGCAGATTAAGATTTTACACACAAGATATAAAGAAGCTCATAAAGCGTGATGCATTGCCACATTAAATTATCCAAGGGCATATAAAAGTAACGTGGCACCACCTGGGCTGGCTACAGCATTAAAATGCTGCTTTAGATCAAAGATTTATCTTGTCTTTATAATGAGCACTTTTATTATTAATACATTTTACACTGCCAGTACAGCCGTTCTTTCACACAGGCCAAACACAATGTTGAATGCAAGAATCTGAGCTTTTTTTTATACCACTACCTGATTAACATGCAACCTATAACTAGTTAAATTAAGGTTTACTTTAAATAGCCCCAATCTTAGCAGGTAAAATGTGTAACTTCCTCCTTGTTGATCTACATTAGAAGAGGATGCTTGACTTCAGCATTTAATAATAAATATCAGCTTATAGCTTAATTTAAATGTCATTTCCATGGAGGAAGCTAAAATGTTCTCACCGTGCTGGCGAACCAAAACAGAATGTAATTAACTTTTAATCACGCAAAGCTTTGAAAGTGCAAATTAATGCTTAGATTGCTGCTGGATTATTGTAATGAAATACACTGCAAGGCTTTCTAGCTTTCTGCAGCACTCATCCTGGCAGGTGAAGCTCATAGTACACCTTGGTCTATGGTGACCTCCAGAGGTAACAGTATTTTATGCAGCTTGTTCACGTGTAACATTTGAGACATGTTCAACACAAGTGTAATATCATAAAATAATTCTTTAAAAGAACATCTTCATTCTTGTGCAGTAAACCAGCATAATTAAAAGTGAACTGTTGTGATATACATTTTAGGGCTTAAAACCACATCTTCTCAGTCAACCCACTCCTCCTGTGTGAGGCGGTGTTACTCAGTCGGTGTGTGCAGTGTTTTCTCAGCAGCGTGGTGGGCGTTGCGGGGTCAGCGAAGGCTCCTCAGATGGCTGGGAATGGGCAGACACTGGCAGTGAAATGCACCGTGTCTGCAAGTCAGAAGACCACCAACTGCTCCACTCCTCAAAACCGAGCTGAAGAGGGCTCTGAACTTCACACACAGATGGTATCAAAGTCATGTGTGAACAGCATGAGCATCACAGAGAATATAAGGTCGGCACATTGTGTTTACAAGGCTATCATCAAGTACTTTCTTGGCGTACGGACGAGCAGATATTGTTTGTGGACTCTTCTGATGCAAACAAAAAGGCTCATGTATGAACACACGGGCATGGCACTCAAGAATGGGAGCAAACATACTTGCATGTCGACACTCAGGGATAAAGGATAGAGTTGCTATTGTGTTTTTACACTTGCAGGGATTTTTATTAAAAGTGATCATTTACACACAAAGGCCTGTTCTGCAGTGTCAGGGTGTGCGTAGGTATAGCATTACTCAAAGTGTATCATGCGCCCGTGGCCAGGTGGCTTATATCTCCTGTCCCAAATAGGACAGTATAACAGAGTTTATTTAATATTATATATTTAAGATGTGAAACATCATATATAGAAATTAAGTTTGGGTTTAATAACACATTTTGTTTTTCAGTTATTTACGAAAACCTATAACTGCAACCTAGTATGCTACTGGTCTCCAACACATCTTAAAACCAGACCTTGTGTTGGTTATGATGAGCAGGATAAGCTTTGTCAGCTGTGTTTGTTAAATGAAACAGACAATAAAATGAACTACTAATTTACAGTACATAATGAAACTGCAAAAGAGATTATTCAGTGGAAATGTTGACTTGTCAGAGAAAGCAAAGCTCAGGTGTAAATAATATTGTTATTAAGACATTTGCATGAACAGAAGTGTCATTATTTTTATTAACAACACTGTTATTCCTACTGACAAGTCAAAAAGGACTATTAAAAATTATGTTTTTTAACTTTATATTCTTTTATAATATGTTATATTATGTTGTATTATATTGCACAAACATGACAGAGCCCTGTAAGGTAAGCAAGCTTATATGTAAAGTGGAAACCAACAACCTATTGATAATCCAGTTGGCCATCCATCTCCTCCATCCTCTCCCTTCTTCCACCTCATTTGCATTACACCCCAGGCCTTCGTTCATGAATACAAGCCTGCCTTCATAAATTATCCCCAAATATGATTAAAAACCGAGAATGACTTGCCTGTCTGCACCATAGCAACAAACATATTGTAGTCTCTTATGTTTTTGGCATAAATGATGATGCACACAGGTTTTCTACAAATAAGTGCTGATTACATGATACATAATAGTTACTGCATTCTGCTCTACACAAACAAATCTCTGCCTGGCTGTATGGTTTCATGCATATGGAAGTCCCTCGTACAAAATAGTCAGATTGAAATAATATTAATATAATAATTATATTCAGGTTTAATACATAACAGACTTTACCTTTTTTACTTAGCAGTTCTCTTGTAGATGCTAAATTTTGTTGGAGTATTTTTTCTTCCAGACCATTAATAACTGACTGAACTGTCACTGCCTGAACATACTGGAAGTTAAATTCACAATAGTTCCTTTGGCAGCATGGTGTGTTACAGCAGTGGTTGCAATGCAAATGGGGTATGTGTGTAAAAAGGGAATTCATGCTTGACAAAGTTTGTACTTCATTAACTTAGTTTGATTTGTGAACATTTATCCTCTGACATGTTGAGCCTTGTGTTTATAAACAGCTAAATGTTGCCACCTAGTGGTCATTGCATCTTACTGCTAAAGAAAGGAGACGTACAATCTACTGATGCCATGCAATTTATTTTTTAATAAATCTAATAAGTGCGAAGCAATACATAGTGAAGATTTCACTGGAGAGAAGAAATGTATCAAAAACCTGACTTTAGAACCCCAACCCTCACATTAATCATACCAAAATGCCATCCACTTTTCCACCAGCTGGTAAATACAACTACAACATTTCACTTACAACACTAGGAAAGGCACGTTAAATGCTGGTTTATAGTGCGCTCACAAATAAGCACAGGCTGAAAAACCCATTTTCTCTTCTAAATACAGAGCTTGATGAAAGCTGTCTTCCCATCAACACTTCACAGACAACCTGTCAGTCCCCTCATGTTTTCTAACACTTAATGTTTGTCTTTCACAGTTGACTTAACAAGGTTCCCTCTGGGGCTTTCTCAAACACATGTTGTTCAAAACTTCCTCGGCTGCTGGATGAAAAAGGTCCGGGGTGAGTGGGGCTTCTCCACTGCAGGTCGCACCTTGCTGTGCCTCACACTCACTGGCGTCTCTGGAAATTCGTGGCTCAGCTGCAAACACACATCAGGCAGGATTTTATTACCCACAAGGCTCTGGGGCCTGAGAGGCACAGTAACTAATCCAGTTTGCTCAGTAGGAGTTAACCTGACATTCAAAGCAAGAGCTGACTTAAAAAAAAAAAAAAAAAAGGGAATGTTTGTTTACCTTGTCAAGAGTTCCTGCCAGAAGAATACCAACTTGTTGCATCCTGTTGGAGGTGGCGAGGGACCTGCTGCAAGATCACATGTTTCAAATACAACAGTTTCACTTCATCAAAATGCTGCTTAAAAAAGGTTTGAAGCAAAATCCATTTCTATGATCTTGGACTTTACACTTTAACCTCATTTGTTACGTGTTGTGGATGCTGCAGACTGAAGGCCTTACCTCAATTTATCAGACCTCTTGGTTTCCTTCTCTGGAGTCCCATGGGTGGCACTCTCTTCCAAGCCTTTCTTGGCCACCCGTTTACCTCCAGCCTTCACTATTAACCCACAGAAGTTTAAAAAGTATGTTATCTGAAAAATCAGCTAGAAAGAGTGGCCTACATCTTAAACAGTAGTTTAAAAACTGGGGGGTCAGGGGTTACATTTAAGAAAAGGAGGTCACAAGGGGATTAAAGCATATAGAAAGAAAAACATTCCCACTACATAAAACTACATTTCTTTTTTTGGACACCTCTGATTTTTGCTTCCTCCCCTTTAACCCTTTCAGACATTAGCTTCAGGCTAAAAAAATAAATTTAAAAATCATTAAGAAAACAAAATCACTCTTAACTACATAGATGTGTCACTCAAATGAAGAGGGTTGGGAGTCACAAGTCAAAGGGGCGTTTTAGACATTAAAGTAATCCCCAATAAATCATGCAATGCTAATTTTAAATTTAGAAAAGAGGCATTAGTAGTTAAATATGCATGCAAAAAAATAAGATATAAAGTATAAAGATGTCTCTGATTGTCCAACAGTCTGAGTGACGCCTCTGCTTTAATGAGAAACCACAAAGAATACAACCAGCGCGACGAAATAAGAGCCAACTATAATACTCGGTGATGAACACGTTTGCACGACAGGATTTTTGCATGCATTAAACTGTGCCTATATGGGAGGTTTTAGTCCGTGGGAACACTGTGTTACTTCAACCAGGGGCCTGCTGGAGAAGACAAAAGCGTGAGGGTGAAAAACACACGGCTGCAAAGAGCTCAGCCAGATTGATGCAGTTATTATTACACAAATCAGATCGTTTCCCGCAATGCGATTGCAATGAAGTAATCTGTATTATAACGGGATGTGTGTGTGTGGGGGGGGAGGGAGAGAAAAAAAAAGCAGATAAAATGCTTGCTGAAAAAAGGTGGTGGATTTAACGGAGTGCACGGATCTCTATCTAGGTCGAGCAGAGACAAACAATAACGCTTTTGGCTTCGTCTAAGTGCAATAAATAAACAGTGCGAGTCGAGCAACCAGTTTACCTGCTGGAGGGTGGCCAGCTTTCAGCAAAGGAGACTCCTTCGCTCCAGATTTGGCGAGTTGCTGCACCATTTTTGAAAAAGTTTTCCGGAGAAATAGCAAAAGAAAGCACCAAACTCTTCACAACGCCCACTCTGTTGTTTTTATGCTCAAACCCAGCTGACGTCATGTGCGGCTACAGGAAGCCTGCGGTAGCCAGAGCCACGCCCACCGATGTGTGGATGAACCATTGACTGTATATGAACTAATAAAGGGAAAATGAAACAGCGACACGGTGTCTCACAGGAACGCTTTTGTATTTGTGTGCCTCAGTTTAAGTTGCTCTTTGTATTTTTGGAGTGCTGTCTTATTTTGAAAAGCTTCAGCATCAAATAAAGATGATCCCATGGAGCCTTAAAGATCAATTTTAAAGTCCCCACTCCATCAAAAATATGTTTTTCTTCTTGTTCCTACAGATGGATGTTTGAGCTTCACTCTGCAGGATGATTCATGTGCAGAGTCTGACACTAGGAGGATGTTTTTTGACATTCATCTGCTGAAAGTGGAAAGTTTCTCTGTGCTCACTGAAAATTATGATTTTAAATTATGATTTTAAGGGCCTGCGAGCATGATTTGTGACTTCACAAACAGTTTTAAATCCTGGTCCAGTATGCAACTTATACAAGTGTGATGTAGAGACCTAAAGCCACCAGTGCACATCCACTGAGAATGGACTTTACAGTGAAATAGGAGACATCTTGTGCCCAGCAGGAAAACTACAGTCTGGATTTATATATATATATATATTTGGGGTCTTTTATCCCCTTTATACGACAGGACAGCTTTGGAGATCGACATGAAAGAGGGGGGAGAGAGAAACAGGGGACGACACGCAGCAAAGGGCCACTGGTTGGACCCACAGCCCAGCTGCTGCAGCAAGGACTCAGCCTTGGTTATATAGAGCCAGCTGGTGCCCCTGGAATTTTTAATGAGGTAGAAGGAGTAGATTTAATGATTTGAATGTGGTTATACTTTTTTGCAGCAAAAACATATCAGACACACACATTATTGTTCCGAGAAGACTATTTATATATTTGTTTATATCATAGACTGTATAATTGCAGCCCCCCTGTATTCTGTGTTAGCATCATTTGCCAGCCACAGAGGTTGCCACTGGTTCTATACATGTCTGGAGGGGATCTTTAAGTTTTAAGAATACTATACTATACTATACTATACACTGAGTGTTGAAACTACCAGAGACAGTGGAACTTAAATAAATTCACATTTGAATACAAGCTTTGTTCATAGAGGTATATTAAAATACAGACTTTTTACAGACTCTTCGTGGTGCATATTAACAGCTCCTTTGATTAGGGTCTGAACTGCCCTTGTGGTGCTGAAAGCTGCACAGATATGTGAAATACACATTCATGTCCTCTTACTGGAAGTGAACACTGATATCAGCAATGACCTGCACCGTAATTTTAGTAGCTTTTATGGTTTAAATGTCATGTTCACAAGTGGATCCAGATTAATCTTGCTGAATAATAGAGCTTGTCACACAATATGTTTTTTAAAGAAGTGATGTCTAACAAGTGAATCAGGAGGATGTCAATCAAACGATAATGAAAACACCTGTGTGTGTGTGTGTAACCATGTGTTTAAATCCAAAGAATTTGGCTTACAGCCTGATTCAGCAGCTTTAAATGACACAAAGCATTTGTGTCTCCAAGTTATCCTATATGGCCTGTTGCTTCACTGCAGATTATAGTAGGTTCAGTTAGATTGGTTTAACCCTCAGCTGAACTACAGTCTTAATGTTCTAAACCTCGGACCAGGTAGTATGGTAGTATAGAAAAATTGTATGTGTATATGGATGCATGAGGGGTGAACAGGTAACACAGCAGGTTCTTCCAGGAGTTTCCAACCGGAAGAAGCATAGATTTGTCTAATTCTCATCTGTTATTCATGTACTTACAGAGTGTTCCTCTTATAGGGAGATGTGTAAATGTTAAAACGTGCTAATAAGTATGTTACTCCTCAGGCTCTTTACAGCTTTACATATCTGTGAATCTGGGGATTTGCAGCCAATCACAGACCATCTGGGATTATGTGCAGTAATGACTCAGGAGCTGCACATCTGGTCCTCTTGGCCATTTTGCCATTGTTTGAACATTAAGCTCTGTTTTAGTATTAACTCTATTTCCCCCCCTTGCCAGTAAAGCTCCAGGGGGGAGATCACTACTGTATTTTGTTTCCATCTTCTTTCTTCTATTCTTGGGTAGATGGGAGTTAGGTTTAGTATTGTAATGAGACACTTTTTTGGGGTTAGTTTATTTACTTGTGTGTTTTTTTTATTATTATTTTTTATCCAAGGCTGGTTTGTAGTTTTGGCCTGGGCCCTATCTGAAGTTTAATTTAAGCTTTGCAATAACCCTTTGAATCCTGCACTGTTAATACATACACTGTGTGTTCATATACAATGTCAGTATTTGGAAAGAACAGTTTTTTTTAATGAGATTCTTTCCTTGATCCAAAGAGCAGAATGGATCTTCCCAGGTGCGAGCACATGGTCAGTTACTGATCACTGTTGGGTTGGGATTCAGTCTTCTCCTTCCAGGCGCCTCGGCACTGCAAGTCTATGAAACACAGGTCTGCTGGTTCAATGCCCCCCCCCCCCCCCTCATTTCTACTCATGTTTGTGTAAATACAAGTTAATGAAACAATTTGTCCCAGAGGAGCAGAATAAGCGTTTGATATCTCCTCTGGATCTCTCTCTGTTCACTCTCAGTTCTGTTTGTGTGCATAGAAAAGGGCAGTAAACAGGGAGAGAATATAAAATATATGTTTGCACTGTACCTGTGAAAAGAATGCAATCACACGACGCCTTTTAAAAAACAAAACTGACCTTTTTTATTATTTTAGCATGGTTGTGTTATGATGCCATCTTTGTCCACATACGTCTTCATATATTTATATATCTATAACATGGCACAAGTTTCTTTTTTTAACCAGTGCTGATGAGTGTAAACCAGGTAACATGTTGTTGTTTTTTCTGTATTTACAATAAAATGAAAGAAATGTACAAGACTCCATGGCATTACACAGCTTCAACATTAAGTACAGATACAATTTCATCCCTCTGTACAATCTAACATCTTTAGTTTACTATCTTTTTTTTTCTTTTTACAGATATGAGTTCATGATTCATTTTGACTTCGACACATACACATTCCCCATCTTGACTCTTACCGCAGACCCTCGCTCACATGACTCACACCTTTCACCATGCTATCACAGCTAAAATTTTCATAAAAGAAAATAAAACTAACATCTAGACAGAGCAGGACGCATGTCTCCTCACACGGCAGTGTCCGTTATCGTCCCTCAAAAGACTCCAAGCATGATTCCACCTTCCTCTACTAAAATAAAAAAAATAACTTAAAAAGAAAAACTTTCCTTGATTTCCTTCTTTGGCACACATTCCATCTTTCCATCTGTCATCGCTCAGCTGAACTCCCCTCCATACACACACACACATTCACTTTACAACAAACACACTTATAAAGCCAAAGTTCATGAAAAAGTTCGTCAATTCTTGTACGCTCCCATCTCCTCGCCTCTGCTGCAGCTCCTCCTTACGCCCCCGAAATGCAAATCGGGGGTGAAAAGAATATCTTCATTGCAAACACAGGAGCATCTGTAGACCTATACCCAGGAGTCAGGAGAGCCGGGGTACTGCTCTGCCCTGTACGAAGGCCTCCGTGTGCTAGCGTAAAAGTCCACATAGTTGGTGGTGGATTTCAGTCCATGAGGCTGGGAGCTGTAGTCGACCGTGGGCGGGTAGGTGATGACCTCCTCAAAGTACGGGTCGTCGAAGCCGTGGGGATGCTTCAGGTACATTCTGTACGTATCGTAGTTCCTCCGTCCCGGATCCTCTGTGTAATACATAGGCTGCAGGGAAAAGAGACAGGTAGGAGGCTGTGATGAACTGTTTTGCCTTTGAATATGATCAAGACCCAGTAGAGGAAAGTAACTACCATAACTACATTTACTCAAGTACTGTATTTAACGTGAAATTAAGTCAAATCATTAAATCAAATCCTGTCTTTAAAACTCTTTCTCTCTCTCTCTGTAATAACCTCTCAACGTGGTAAATTAGTGGCGGAGTTTACAAGATAAATATTGTAAATTCACAGGAAATGATTCATGTTTGTAATATAGTCTAACAGTTTTTATGTCTCATTGATGTCAGCCTGTTCACTCTCATTAACTCCCTATTAACCTAATGCTAATGCAAGGTTGCAAACATTTCTCACGGCTGCTGTCTCATATTAAAAGCTTTCAACTGACAAAACATCGGGAGGCTTTTATTGTGAAGCAGTCACAGGAAACAGTGCATTCGTACCCAAAGTTAGCGCTGACTGCACACCTCCAACTCCTCAGCAAGGTAACCAATTCCTCTCTGGGACCGGTGCTGTAGTATCAAACTGTACTTAATGTTACCACAATGAACCACAAGTGTTGCCAAATAAACCAGGACAGAAATGTTAATGATTATTACTTTAAGTACAGTTTTGAGGTATTTATTGTTATATTTTATGTATTAGGTATTTTATGCTACTTAATACTTGCTCCACTACATTTCTACATATAAGGTATAGTTGGTGGCTGCTTTGCAGATTCAAATTTTGCATAATAAAATAACACAAGGCGGCACAAGTACTTTTATTTTTGGTCATTAAAGTAACTTGTGCTGATAATACTTATGTGTATTTATAGAAGTATGAATTTAATAAGAGGAATTTTTTAGTTGTAATAGAGTATTTTGTATTTTTACATTGCCTTACTTTTACTTAAAAGAATAATTTGACAGTTTGGGAAATTCGCTTATTTGCTTTCTTTCCAAGAGTTAGATAAGCACATCGATATAGTACCTCTGTACTCTCATCTGTTAAATGTAAGGCTTCAGCCAGCAGCAGGCTAGCTTAGCCAAGACTGGAAACAGGAGAAAACGGCTGACCTGGGCCTGTCAAATAGTAACAAAACCTGCCTACCAGCATCTCTAAAGCTACTTAATATGTAACATTTCATTTGTTTAATGAGTACAAAAAACAAAGACGTAAAAACATCAAGCTTTTTTGGTCATGCAGAGTAACTTCTCCACTGGTTCTTCCCATCAAACTCTT